ACGTATTTAGATCTTTATATTTATTTTATATTTGGAGTGGTAAAAACGAAGGACGCTACCAAAATGCTGGGTTCTTTTTCTCCTGTTAGGAGATTTGGAATAGGTGAGTCACTTCTCTTTGGAGGGTTTTTATTCTGCTTTCAAATACTTGTTCATTTTATTTTTCACTTTATGATAGCCTCATTCATTACAGTTGACCCTTGAACATCTTGGGGGTTTCGGGTGCTGACTTCCCTGGGCAGCTGAAAACCCACATATAACTGTTGACTTTCAAAAATTTAACTACTAATAGCCTACTGTTGACCTTACTGATAACATAGTCGATTAACACATATTTTGTATGTTATATGTATTGTATACTGTATCCTTACAATAAAGTAAGCTAGAAAAAAGAAAGTGTTATTAAGAAAGTCATAAGGAAGAGAAAATTCATTTACTGTACTGTATTTTACTTATTGGAAAATATCCATGTGTAAGTGGACCTATGCAGTTCAAATTTGTGTTGTTCAAGGGTCAACTGTATGTATGTGTATTTGTTTATTTATTTATTTAACATGTATTTAGCACTCATAGTGTCTTTCACCAAATTAACCATTTCCAATTTGGTGTTAGAAAGCCAAAAGAAGACACAGTGGTTGTTATAAATGTCACAAGGCCTAAGGAGAACACAGAAATGGTGCCACACAGTTTTCATAGACTGCAGAATTTAGGCATGTCCTATCGCACTTGGTCCAAAAAGTCTTTTCTGAGCAAAAGATTCAGTTTTTGAGGATCATTGTGGAAAAGAGACTATAAATAAGCTCTTTATAGTCTAGATGAGGAAACAGACTTTAAAAATAAAATGAGGTCTATTGTAACAAGGATGAGAACAGAACCACAAGCTTAGGACAGTCAGAGGAAGCCATTGCAGGTAAGCAAAGAAGACAGACAAAGGAATAGAGGCAGATAGAAAAGGCTGGAGATGCAAAAGAATTTTCTGAGGTAGATGAGACTCAGTGTTGGAAAGTAGGGGCTGTTTGGAACTTGTTTCTGTATCCCCAGCATGAAGTATATGCCTGGGACATAGAAGATGCTCAGTGACAATAGGAAGTTTTAACTTTACTATGAGAGAGACAATCTTGCAAGTTGCAGGATTTTGAGGAAACTGTTTCTTTTCCTTATTTAAACCCTAAGAACTAATATTTGCCTTGGTAGATATAAGTGTGTGTATGTGTGTTTGAAAAAGACAGAGTGAAAGGAGGTGAGAGCTCCATCTAATCAGCATCCACTAAGCAACCAAGCACTAAGAGGCATAAGAATAATCTACACTGACACGGAGAAATCCAAAGGGCCAAGACTTGACTTAGCCCCATGATGGCCTGTCCTACAGAAGCCCCAAAGACATTATTTTAGACTGAGTAATTGAAGCCTGGGGAGTCAGGAAGGAAATTTCATTCTGAAGAAATGCTAGAGAAAGTTATCTACTCTGTGAGGACAGTGAATCTACTGTTGAAGGAATAAGGCAAGGATTGGAGCATTCAGCAAGGAATCTTATAAAGAATTTAATTTCTAGTGAGCTTTCTCTTTAGACCCTGGATACATACAAATTTAATTTTGTACCCCCTAATTGAGACTCCCTTCAGTAATCTCAGATCCCCAGTTCTTCTTCATCCCTTTGTTTGCTTCTCCCAGGAGATATATTACCAATTTTCATTATTTTGTTCTTTAACTAACTCCCCAACTAGACTATAAGTTCTAAGAAAGAATGTCTTTTATGAAATAAGAAATGATGGCGAGGATGTGGAGAAAAGAGACCCTTCTACACTGCTGGGAATATAAATTGGTGCATCCACTATGGAAAGCAGTATGGGGTTCCTAAAAAATTAAAAGTAGAAATACCATGTGACCCAGTAACTCCACTTCCAGGAATTTACCAGAAGAAAACAAAACCTCTGTTTTGAAAAGACATATACACCCCTATGTTTATTGCAGCACTATTTACAATAGCCAAGATATGGAAGCAACCAAAGTGTCCATTAATGAATGAATGAATAAAGAAAAGGTGGTACATATACACGAGGAATATTATTCAACCACAAAAAAGAAAGAAATCCTGCCATATACAATAACATGGATGGACCTAGAGGGTATTATGCTAAGTGACATAGGCAGAGAAAGACAAATACCGTATGATTTCACTTATACGTGGAATCTAAAAATAAAACAGAACAAAGTGAACCAAATAGCAGTGTACTCACAGACACTGAGGGGAGGGGTTAGCGTGGGTAGGTGGGTTGGGTGAGGGGGATAAAGAGGCACAAAATGTTAATTATAATAAAAGTTGGTCAGGAGGATGGAAGTGCAACACAGAGAATATAGTCAGTAACAGCACTAGTTGGGGTGAAGATTTAGTAGTGTGTATAACTGTTGAATCACTGTGTTGCATATTTGAAACCAATATAATATTGCATATCAACTATACTTCAATTAAAATAAATAAATAAATAAATAAATAAATAAATAAATAAATAAGAATGTCTTTTACCCTCATATCCCTAGGGTCTAATTTAGGGGGTTCTCAATAAATATTTATTGATAGTGGAGGCTGGACAGCCACTCTCCTGTACTACACTCTTTCTGTGACTGGTATTTTCATTATTCAAATGTTTACTGAGGGCATATCTACTATCTGGATTAGGTCCTGCATGAGCACAGAAATAGAGAGGTGAATAATGGTCCCCAAATTAATGAAGCCTCAAGAAGACAGGTGGAAACAGATAAATAACAGTGCAGTGCACAGAGGAGGTCTACCTCTGTCAGAGTGAGTCAGAGAAAGCTTTACAGCAAAGGAAATAGTGGAGCCGGACCTTGAAGGCAGCTTAAATATCTGCAAGGTGGGACACAGACTGGGAATCACACAGGCTTGACCTAGTGAGTTGTGTTTGGAGCCTCACGGTCAGGGTGTTAAAGGAGCTTGGAAGCTCAGTGGGAGGCGAGGTTGCACCAACAGAAAAGAGTTGAGAAAAAAGGAATTCATCTACCACAATAAAGACCCTTGTGTTTAACCCTATGGATGAAGTATCTTAGAAGAAGTCAAAGCATATGTAGAGATATGACTAGTTCTTCCAATTAGAAGATTGTTGCAGTAGCCAAGACAAGAAATGCTAAGGGCCTGAAAGAAGGCAATGGATAGGCATGAACCAACTTAACATATATTTAAGAATAAACAGCCATACAGTTTTGTAGCTGTATCTGTCAGATTCAGTTGCAGAGAACAAAGTCCACACTGGGCATTTTAAGCAGAAAGGGTGATTTGTTTTGTTTTGTTTTGTTTTGTTTTAGCAGAGTATAAATGGCTTGCAGAATGTTTGGAAGGGCTAAAGAATCAGATTCTAGAGTGAACTTCAGAAGTACTTTTCAGTGTCACAACAGAACTGGCTGCCAAAAAAGTTGCTTCTCTTGCTCTGAGCCTAAAAACTATATGATGATTCTGGAAGCCAATGGAAGAATCATGCTATTTTAATGTTACTTCAATGTACACCAGCAAAAAGGATACTTAATGTCCTGCTTCCCTTCCTTTTAAACTCAATTTTTAATTAAGCCTTACACAAATATATATGCTTAGTGGAACCTAAATCACAATAAGATGTAGCTTCAAGGGATCTGAGAAATGTCATTGTTTTGTTTTCAAGACTTTTAGTACAAGAAGAAACAGTAGAAGAAGATTGGAATAGATATTGAGCAAGCAAATATCTGCCATTGTATCTGCTACAGTAGACAATTAATTGTAGGGAGTAAGAGTACAGATTTAAAATTATTCCCTAGCTTGATTTAGGTGACAGATTCCAATGAAAGAGCCAAAAAATAGAGGAAGGAGAAAAGCAATTTTGGCATTTGGTTTTGGACATGGCAGATTCAATATACCTTTAGGCCATACAGGTGGAGGTTCTCAGCAGGTGGATAGACATTCCTCAAAAGTAAAAATTTGAAGGTCATCTTTTCATAGGTAATCAAATTGAAACCTCCAGAAGGACCCAGCCCTGACAACACCTTGACTTTAGCCCAAATTTATTTCAGACCTTTATGTCCAGAACTGTAGGAGAATAGATTTGTGTTGTTTTAGAGCCCTAAACTTATGATCATTTGTTACAGCAGCAGTAGGAAGCCAATACAGGCAGTCATAGTTGAATCAAAAAACGAATGTGGAGGTTAGCTCTAGGAAGGCAGGAGAAGTAATACCTTTCACAGAGAAAGGAGAATAAAAAGCAGGGATAGGTTGGGATGAGGATACATTCACTGGTATGTGGTGCACGTGTACATATGTGACATATGTGTATTTTATGTAGAGCAGGGCAGAGTTGGAGGTAGGGAAAATATGTTTTTTGAAGGGAGCTGGGGAGATGCAATATGGCCTCTTTTTTCCCCCAATGAAACAGAAACAAGAGTATTTTCTGAGAGAGAAAAAACAGTAGTATGGCAAGAATCAAAATGAAAGTAATGAGGAATATGAATAGTCACCATGAGAAACTAGAGAAAGCCAAGATGTGAGATTTCCAAGCAGCATTTGAGAATAACACATGGGATTTGAAACAAATGTTGAATGATTTTCTTCGCTATTTCTCTGTTGCAGAAAAGGCGCATTGCTGGACTGAGGCAAGATTTAAAGTATGTAGGTACAGAGTGGTGAATAGTCCAGAGACAAGGGCTGCTGGTGAAAGTAGCTGAAGTGATTACAAAGGAGTCTAGTTAAAGATTGATCAGGAGGGGACCAAAATAGAGAAAAAGAATGGTTATGAAAACTGAATTTAAAGTTGCATCTGGTATACCAGTAGGGAGAAAGTGAAATAGGTAGAAAGACAGGAGGTTGTGAAATTAGGCAGGAAAACACAAAATAAAGAGCAGTACGATATTATGGAAAACATTGGGGCTGACTTAAGAGCCATATACTTCTCCTCTTATCCTTTTTCTTCTTTCTCCTTTAACAGAGATCAGTTTTGTTTAGATGTTTTTTCTTTTTTCAGATAGAAAGACTGAATCCCTTCCTCAGCCCTGGGGAACAAATTATTAAGCCAATGGTTCTCAAACATTAGTGTATATCACAATCATCTACAGGATTTGTTAAAACATAGATTGCTGGACTCCACTCCTGAAATTTCTCATTCATTAGGTTTTGGGTAAGTCTTAAAATTTGCATTTCTAACAAAATTCCAGCTGGTGCTCATGTTGCTAGTCTGGGAGCAGTGCTTTGAGAACCATTAGTATAAGCCATTCACGGTGGTCTCAGTGTCCTTATTACTTTAGTCATGCATGACTCAAACCTGGCCAATGATAAATGAGGGGATATCTCCCGTGGGGCTTCCTAGACTAACCTATAGAATCATATGGGAGAAATAAGATCCTCTTCACCAGTACACATGCTTACCCATGAGGTTCATAGAATGGCTCCAGCCATTTTGAAGCCCTGAGGAGAAACGTTGCCAACATCTGAGGATGGCAGGTGGACTCACAGACGATACCCCATCTTTGATGACATCTGTGAGCTTCTCAACTGACTCTGAACCACACTTCGTCTGAGCTTGTTATGTGAGATAATAAATTCCTTAGTGCTTCAACTACTTTTAGTTGGATTGTCTATTACACGGAGCTGACCATATCTAACTGAAGCAAATATCATTTATCTAACTGATAAGCAAAAAATTTAAAACATTATAATATCCATTGCCTGATAAAGATATGGAAGAAAAGGTACTCTAATTAGTTGTCAGTGAGAGGGCATGTGAAAAACAATACTTTTTTAAATACATAATCTGGATATATTTATTAAAATTAAAAATACAGAAATATTTTCACCTAGAAACCTTACTCTCTGAAATCTTTTATGCAAATAAAAGCACCAATGTGATATGAAAAAATATATAATAAGGATATTTATTGGAATTTTTTGTCACATCCAAAATAAAAAGAAGAAATAACTTGAATATACTTCAGTACTACAATAGTAAATCCATTGTGATATATCCACTCTATAGGATAATATGCAGCTATTTTTAAAAATGAGTTAAATTTATATTTGTGGACCTGGGGAGATGTCCATAATGTGTTGTTAATTTGCAGAGAAATATATAGAGTATTATCCCAATTATATAAAAATAATAAATTCTCTAACCCTTTATAAATGTGTTTATAAATTCATAGGAGCATGAAGAAGTATGAATATTAAGCTGCTAACTCAAGGTCCTCCAGAGAAGGTACAGTAGAAAGAAAGATATTTGTAAGTTGAAAAACAATAGACAAGAAATTTTTTAAAAATTCTTCTGATATAATGCTAAGTGATCAAGTACAATTTACGAAACTCTGTTGTAAATACTATGGTATATATGTAAAAATTGATGAACGTGTGGATAAGGAGTAAATGATATCAAGGAGAAATTAAAGTACTCTTTATAGTAGGCAATGTGATATGAAACAATTTTATCTTGAATTTCAATTACGTTAATTGGTTTATATTAAGGTAACACTAAAAATGTGGGATATTGAAATTTAAGAATTAAGTTGGCAAGACTAGAGGTGTAACAATTAAGATGGATTGAGGAAATGAAGTGAAGGTGCCAGTCCCTCGAGATGAGGAGATCGAAGTCTGTCCCCTCTGCATAGAGGTCACCAGAGCAAATCCAGGCACTGGAAGAGGAAGGAAAACCTGAGCCAAAGTCCTAAAATAAATGAGGCAGTGATTGAAAAAGTGGTGGACAGCAGAAGAGAGGAAAGGAAGGTGACAGCGGGAATCTAAAATGAGAAGAGTTTAGCATGAGGTTGGAGACTTTAAAGGCAATTCAAGCTTTTTATGAAATGGCTAAGGAGGTTCATGAACCTCTATTGCCTTTCTCTGCCCCTCACCCCCAATTCTTTCATTTCAACACCTGACAGGAACTCCAGCTCAATTTAGCTGCTATTTTTGTAGATTTCAAAAGGCCAAATTCTGTCACTGAGCCTGTGCCCAGGCTGTTCCCCTAATCCCATAGTCCTGTCCCTTCTTCTTGACCTATATTCAATCTTCAGAGTCAATGGGAAGGTTTTTTCCTTTCTGACCTCCTTGACAGTTTTTACTCCAAGAAATATGCTCCATATACGTACATATAGCACAACTCAGTTGTGTCATCACACACTGCCATGTATTACTCTTCACTTGTTCTCTATCTGTAAATCTTGTTTCACAATAGTGTCAAAAATCATCATTTTCTTCAAGCCTTCTATCCTACCAACTTCCTGTTCTTGTTTTACTGTTTCATCTCACAGAGAAAAAAAAGGCATTAGTTGGAAACTCCCTCATTTCTCCCTTCCTCTTCATAGTCCTCCTTCAGTGCCTTCTCATTAAAAAGGAGGAGGTATCCTTCCATGTGTCAGAGACACACACCCTCTCCTGGTGTCCAGTTCTCTTCAATATTTCCTGAGCATCTTAATGTCCAAGCACTAGCCCAGGTGCTGAGTAGAGAGTGATGAACCACAGAAATGGGGTCTCTCTCCTCAAGAGGTTTAGAAACTAGTGGAGAACAGGCATTTGTAATTAGAAAAAGGATGAGAGTTAAGTCACATAGGGATTCTCTCTCCTACAGTCTGCCATTGATTCACCCCTACTGTCTTCGTTATCTCCAAACTTGTGCTTTCTATAACATCCTTACATCCAGCATTTATATTTGTTATCTCATCTTAAAAGTAAGATAAAATTTTCTTTACCCCCTATTTCCCTCCACAGTCCTACATTGTCCTCCATTCCACAGAAAAACTTCTAGAAAGAGTTGTTTATAATCACTGTGTTCTTTTTCTTATTTGTTCTTGCAACCTGGTTTTGGAAACATCCCCACCTCCACACCAGCTCACAGGACCCTCTTCCATCCAAAACACGGCTTTCACTTTGCTAAATCCAATGCGTATTTTTCAGTTCTTGTTTGACCTCTTGACAATATTTAACATCTTATGTCATTCCTTGTGTCTCCAAACCTCTTTTTGGCTCCAGGCACTCTACAATCTCCTTAGTTCTTCTCACTCATTTTGCTTCTTTACTTCCATCTGGTTTGCGGTTCATCTTTAGCTATTAGACCTCTAAGGTTCAGTTTTCCCTTCTTTTCACATGGTACCTTCCACCTAGGCAATTTCATACATTCCTGAGCCCTAAATAAACATCTCTGAATAATGGTTCCACATGTATACCTTCAGCTAGATCTCTTCTCTCAATTTCAGGCTAGTATACATAATAGAACTTATGCAATTTCCTTAGGAAGTGTTTCTCAGAATCTTTGACCAGATCAGGGTCTCTTACAGTGTGTTCTCATACCATCTTCTGTTTTCATACTTACTTTGTTGTGATTTTATTATCTGTCTTCTTCCCTGGTATGTACTCTGTGAGAGTGAGAACCTGAGAACTATATCTGTCTTATTCTTTATTCTATCTGTAGTGTCTAGCAAAGTGCCTTGTTTGTAGTTACTATTTATTGAAAGTCTGAATTGATAAGCTTAATAATTTTAATTTAAGCCATTCATAGAGTTATCTTATTTGTTTTAAAGGGCATCAAAATTAGTGTGCCTTTCCTCTTTGGCAATGTGATTGTCCTAAAATGACTGATATGATATTTTTGTGAAAAAGTATCTGATAATTTCATGACTGGTACTTTTGTGGAAAAGTGTCTAATAATGACTGATACTTTTGTGATACTATAGTAACTGTGATATATGTATATGTATATATATATATATATATATATATATATATATATACAATGCTAGCCCCAATTTTTCATTACTAGGTTCGACAGAGTTGATATTACCCTATGAGGTAACTATAAGGTTTTTAAGTGCTTATTTTCAATTTCTGTAATTTTCTGGGCACTGAATGGTGACAAGTATTTCACAGACCAGCACTAGAAAGCAGAGCATCCTTTGAGTAGCTCTGGGCTAGGAAACAACTTCTTTGCATCTTTCCCTGATTATTCTGTTTGCTGAAGAACATTACAGAAAAGGCCTTTCTGTTTTTGCAAAGCAAAGGAAGAAACTGATTCTCCAACTGTCACACTAGTCAATGAATTTCACATTCCTCATAGTTCAGCCCTGATGTTACCATGGAGGGTGCATACAAATGCCACCAATGGATGTGACAGCTCAGGTGGTGTGGGGAACATGAGTGAGCATATGTGCTGAAGGAGACCTGCTCGGGCCTTTGCTGTGGGGCTACCATGTGGTCATCGATGGAGAGGCCAGAGGTGGTGCCCACTATTGGGAAATGTCATCCCCAGCACTTTGTGCTTTAAAACCAAAGCCTTCGTGAAAATGCCTGTATCCTCCCATACTGTCTCCAGAATCCTTCAAAGACAATAATTTGTATAGCCTTTAGAAAATTCTTGCACTGTTTCTACTAAATATACAAGAGCTACAACTTCTCCCAGAATGCCAACTGTTTTTTGTTTTTCTAGGACCAAATAGCCATGAACATTAAAAGTTCAACACGATGGTATCTACTGTTTTCCCACATATTTTTTAACAGTAAAACTATGGGGAAGTTTCAACCTCTTCCCCTCAGTCAGCTTTGGAGTATTTCTCTGTTTAATATTTGAAGAACTATAAAAAGCCCAGCCACGCTAGAACCTCAGTTTATCTCAGACAGAAGTTGCTGAACAGAAAGCTTGTTAGGGTTGCCAGATTTAATAAATATAAATATAGGACATCCAGTTAAATTTGAATTTCAGATAAACAATGAAGTTTTTTTTAGTGTGGTTGTGGGACATGTGCCTTGCTTAGGACATACTTAAGGCTAAAATTTATTCTCTGTTTATCTGAAATTCAAATTTAACTCAGAGTCCTGTTCTTTATCTGGCAACTCTGTCTTGTGTAAATTATTTTATTTTGATGGGCTCTTTTTCCTGTTTTATGGATGTGTGGGTTTTTGTTGTTTGTTTTTAGACTCTTTTCTTCACTATTAGAACACACTTTTTTAAAAGGCTCTCTGCCAGTCCCCACCTCATTATCAATGACATCATTAGATCGCCATAGTTCTAAATTTTGTTAAAACAGGATTAGAACTACTGACAAATTGTAAAGATGAGAGGCTACCAAGGAAGTTAGGATCAAATTATGATCAAGAAAGGAACGGAAGGAAATGCCAAACTTAGGCTGTAGATAATGCTCAGCATAGTGAATGCTCTGTAATGGAGTCGGACACAGAATACCCCTGGGAGGCCGATGGGCACTCAGCCTCACATTTCACAGATGGAGAAACCTGAATACAAAGGGAGTTAGTGACTTCTTCAGAGAGGGTAGGAAGCAGCTGTGTGAAGGAATGGGGGTAGAGAAGAGAAAGAAAATCTTTCCAAACCCATTCTTACCTGGCAGGGTGTGGAGAAAGCAGACATCCCTGAAGGTGAATATTTTATTAGAATATTTTTCGTCTGGGCAAGTGGGAAAGTTTCGTTCCTCTAATCCCACCCTTTCTACCATTTATATGCACTTATCTAGGAACCAACACATTCTAAAATTTGGCAGAGACATTAGAGAACATTTATCCCAGTCTGTTTATTATACTGATGAAGGAACTAAGGCCAGGAGATTGAGTGACTTTATCAAGTTGTATGATGTGTAGGAGTCAACCTGGATCTAGGCCTAAGAACTTCTACATCTCAGTGTTTTTGTCCAGCTGCTTTTTAATTAGTAACTAGTCCACAAGCTATAGAAAAAAGCCAGATGAGTTCTCTCAGCCAAGGAAAGTGACTCCAGTGAATTGGGAAGTAAAAGCAGCTTAAAATGTCCCTCTCTTTTCAATAAGTTTAGGAGCTGCCATCTAAGAATGGAGTCTGATCTTCTTGTTAAAGAATGTATTATGAAAGAGATAGGATACACACAAATATAAACAGAACACATATTAAGTATTTTATTTAAATCATTATTCATTGAAGGACCTGGTAAAGTGTTACAAATGGTTTAAATGATGATTCGACATGCAGAGATAATATATTATCTACCTAAGTGCTATGGACAGAATTGTGCCTTCACCTCCCAAATTTATGTTAAAACCCAAACCCTTCCTGTGACTGTATGTGGCATTTAAGGAGGTGGTTAAAGTTAAACGAGGTCATAAAAATCTTACAGAACTGGTGTCCTTATAAAAGAGCAAGAGATACCAGAGATACATATATGCTCTCCCTTCTCATGTGAGGATGCAGTAAGCAGGTGGCCATCTATCTGCAAGCTGCAGAGGGAATGCCTC